ATTGAAAGAGGATTGTATGGCTAGCCAGTTGAGCCAATAATTCAGAGGACGAAGGCATTGATGAGGGTATTGATTGGGATGATCTTGAGGATGAAGCGGCTCGATACCAAAATTCTGGGATCGGAGTTGGATATATTTGAAGGTATTTTGAAAGTTACATTCAAGGCTAACACCTGAGCTTTGTGTAGTGTAAATAAGACCTTGTGTTTATGAACCTTTCAGCTAATTTGCTTTTTTTCCCTTATATGCCAAGTGATGTTCAGGTTTTGAATGTTTTTGTATCCGTTTTTTCCTTTGTAAATGGCATTAACATTGTTACTTGAGGTCTTCCTTAATCACTTTTGTTGTCCTGAGGACTTGAATTTACAGTGCATCAGATTTGTTGCTAATTTTGTCTGTAGATAGTCCAGCTTCAGCTGTTTATGGTGATGCTACATTTTCGTTTATAAATATGTTTGTGGTATAAAAAAATGAGTATAACCAAGTTTGGCTGGAATTAATATCCCTGGGCACCTGGAACAGGGTGGTGTATATTTGTGTACAACCCGGCCTCCCTTCCCCTGTAGCTATACTTCTGGGATTCTACAAAGTTATTGTAGACTTAAAAGACTGTTTTTTTTGTTTTTTTTTTTTTTTGAGACGGAGTTTCGCTCTTGTTACCCAGGCTGGAGTGCAATGGTGCGGTCTCGGCTCACCGCAACCTCCGCCTCCTGGGTTCAGGCAATTCTCCTGCCTCAGCCTCCTGAGTAGCTGGGATTACAGGCACGCGCCACCACACCCAGCTAATTTTTTGTATTTTTAGTAGAGACGGGGTTTCACCATGTTGACCAGGATGGTCTCGATCTCTTGACCTCATGATCCACTCGCCTCGGCCTCCCAAAGTGCTGGGATGACAGGCTTGAGCCACCGCACCCGGCCCAAAAGACTGTTTCTTTACTATCCCTCTCCATCCAGAGGATTGTAAGCGTTTTGCTTTCAGCCTTCCCGCAATTAACTTTAAAGAGCCTATGAAGAGATATCAATGGAAGGTTTTGCCTCAGGGCATGGCCAACAGTCCCACCTTATGTCAGTCATATGTGAACATCGCCATTGCTGAAGTTAGAAAAGATTGGAAGGATGTGTACATAATCCATTATATGGATGATATACTTTTAGCAGCAGCAAAAGAGGAAGTGGTCTTGTCCTGTTTCAAAAGTCTACAAACTGCCCTTACTGCTAGTGGATTAGTCATCGCCCCAGAGAAGGTGCAACTTACTGACCCCTACACCTACCTAGGATTTCAGTTAAGTGGAACTCGCCTATCGACTCAAAAGGTGCAACTCAGGCTACACTGTTTAAAAACCCTCAATGATTTTCAAAAATTATTAGGAGACATAAACTGGCTGTTACCTTATCTAAAATTATGCAAAGCTGATCTCAAGCCCCTATACGATACATTGGTAGGGGATCCCAGTCCTACTTCTTTAAGACAACTCACCCCTGAAGCAAAATCAGCTATCAATTTAGTTAATCAAGCTATCAATAACCAAACCATCACCTTTTTCGATATTGACAAACCACTCCAATTTATTATATGTCATACCTCATTATCTCCCACAGCTGTGTTCTGGCAAACTGCTCCACTTATGTGGATCCATCTTCCTAATATGCCCGCTAAAGTCATTGAACCTTACTACCTTATGGTAGCCAGTCTAATTACCAAAGGAAGAACCCTAGGCAAGGAATATTTCGGACAGGAACCTAACAACATTGTCCAACCTTATACCAAACAGCAGATCCATTGGCTCATGCAAAATACTGAAGCATGGCCCATTGCACTCACCTCTTATACTGGCAACCTTGATAATCATTATCCTCCCAATAAGCTTCTAGATTTTGCCAACAGACATGATTTCGTTTTTCCTAAAAATACCAGACTTCATCCCCTTCCAAATGGAATTACCATTTTCACTGACGGGTCATCCACAGGGCTTGCAGCCTTTGTTACCCCAAACCAAACTATCAGCTTTCAATCCCAATCTTCATCTGCCCAATTAGCAGAGCTACATGCAGTTATAGCTGCATTTTCCATGCTTCCCAATGATCCTCTCAATGTTTGTACAGACAGTGCATACATTGCTACTTCTGTCCCAAAGTTAGAAACAGCCCCATTCATAAAACACACCTCAACCGCTGCAAAACTATTTTCTCAACTACAAAAGCTATTAATTTCCAGAACACAACCTTTCTACATTGGGCATTTACGTGCTCATTCAGGCTTACCCGGTCCATTAGCCTCTGGAAATGCCAAGGCAGACCTAGCCACCCGTGTTCTGTTAGTTCAACTCCCTAACACCCCTCTAGCTCAAGCACAACATTCGCACAACTTGCATCATCTTAATGCTCAATCCTTAAGACTACTCCATCACATAACTAGAGAACAAGCCCGACAAATAGTAAAGTCCTGCACACAATGTGCACCTCACTTACTGGTCCCACATCTTGGAGTTAACCCTCGAGGCCTCCTACCTAACGCCCTTTGGCAAATGGATGTCACCCACATCCCAGAATTTGGAAATCTTAAATATGTTCATGTCTGCATTGATACTTGTAGTGGATATATCTTTGCCACTTTGCAAACCATGTTTATTGCTCATGGTTAAAGCCACAAAACATGTTATTGCTCATCTTTTAACTGCCTTTGCATCCCTGGGGTGTCCACGTAAAATCAAAACTGACAACGAGCCTGGTTATGTCAGTACAGCCTTCACTCAATTCTGTACTCACCTAAACATTCAACATGTTACAGGCATCCCGTACAACCCCCAGGGACAAGGCGTAGTAGAAAGAGCTCATCTCACCATAAAAACCACTCTAAATAAAATTAAAAAGGGGGAATGGTACCCCCATAAGGGATCACCAAAAAACCTTTTATCACACTCATTTATTTTAAATTTTTTAACACTGGATCAAGAAGGACACTCTGCTGCCGATCGACACTGGCATTTTGAATCCAAAAGCCATTATGCATCGGTAATGTAGAAAGATCCCATGACAGGCGCATGGCATGGCCCGGACCCGGTCCTGATTTGGGGTCGAGGATCAGTGTGCATTTATGCCAAGGAAGCTGATTCGGCCAGGTGGCTTCCCGAAAGACTTGTAAAGCAAGTAGATACCAAAAAATCCGAAAAACCAAGTCCACCCAGGGACGGCACCGAGCCCTGAGGGTCTTCTATCTTTTTCCTTTTTAGGAGTCAACAATGTCTATCGGTCCTATTAGGCTCAGCAAACTCATGAGCTTCTTAAGATCACAAATTGAGGCCATAAAGATGCAGCCCATTCAGGTCCATTACCACAGGCTGGAAATGACAGACCTAGAGATGGAGCTTGATTCATAAAACACAAAGGTTATACCTTTCCTCTCAGGTCACCCGGCGAGCTGAACTGGTTAGCCAATGACGGGCAACTGAGGAGCATGAGTAAGGACACTCCGCCTAAGATAGGGAGGAAAACGTTTTTCCCCTCCCCATGACGGATAAGGAGTCAGTGTTCTCTCACGTGGGGTCCTCTGACCTAAGACAGGCACGGTTCCCGCGGGCATAACTACCCCTCAGCCTAATTTCTAAATAAAATAAAAAAGGGGGACCTGTGGGCAGCAATAGCTACCATTTTGTGATCTGCTCAGCCATGTTGTGGTTTGCGTAAGTTTCAGTTTAATGTTTCCTGTTGACAAGTTTCAGTCTTTGTTCCCCCCGCCCCCCCCCCCCCATAAGTTTCAGTAATGTTTCAGTTTCTGTTTCCTGCTGATAAGATTCAGTTTCCTGAAACTTAAGTAGGCCGGCATTTCCCAACCGCAAGCTACCCTTGCCCCGCCTCTCTGCCTGCGCCTATTTAAGCTGTGAGCTTAGCAACAGTAAACGAGACTTGATCAGACTCCTGTCTTGTCTCCATTCTTCGCGTCTCCTGTTCCCATCCATCCCCACTCCCTCCCTTCGAGCTCCCGTTGTCCTGCAGGTCGGGACACCCGGCCGCCATGGACTGGGCTCCCTCCACGCCTGGCCCATTTGTGGCCGTGTCCGCAGAAGCTCCTGTGACACCAGCTGCCCCTGGAAGTGCACAGCAGGGCCTCCTAGAGCCAGCTGGGGGGTCAGATGGTGGCCTGGGCTATGGTCACCGTGGCAAAAGAGGTTCTGGGCATCTGTGGAGGGAGGGGTGGAGCAAGGAGTCCCAGTACTGGGGCCTCCTTGGTGAGCTGGACCGGCATTACCCTGAAGAGCACAGCTATTCGTGGGCCATCATGAAATAGACAGGAGTTTTGCAATCGCTTGAGAAGTGCCGGTGTGGAGGATGAGGAGGCGCCTCTAGGCAGGGGGCTTGGGGGCCTCACCAGCTTGCAGCCAGGGAAGGCTTCTGGGAGGAAGCGGTAGCAGGGGCCCTGCAGGTGAGCGGTCAGGGGAAGTAGGGGCTAGGTGCCTAGCAAAAGCCCCCAACCCTGGAGGACAGAGGGAGCTAGATGAGTTGGGGGACCCTTGAGGAACAAAAGGTGGGGGTGGGGCACGGGGGCTCGGCTGAGTTGCTCACAGCCAGGGACCCTCGGCGGTGTGGCTGCCTCCTCGGGCACGTGAGGCTAGGCAGGGGGTGGTGGGAGGCGCCACAGCCTAGGAGTGCCTTCCCCCGAGGGAGCCCCTCAGCCCCTCAGGCAAGGAAGGCAGAGCCGGGTCATGGCAATGGGGGTGGCAAAGAGGGCCCGGGGCCAGGATCGCAGAGCCCCTGTGAAGCAGCTCTTGTCACTGCAGGTGGCTCCGGCGTCAGGGGCTCTTCCAGCTCCCAGGTCAGCTGTCTTGAGAGGTCTGGCCTGGGGGTCCCCCTGGGGAAGAGCAGGAGCAGAGAGCCTGGGGCTTCCACTGGACACAGGGAGTGGTGGGAAAAAGCCCCGCCGATAGGGAGGCCTCCTTGCCCCTGAGCTTGGGCTGAGGTCTCCTGTTCCGAGCCAGGAAAAACACTGGTGGCTGCTGACTTTCAAATGTAAATAGGTTTGTTTCTTTAATTCTGTCTGTTCATTTACACTCCTCTTTATTAGCGGATAAGGATTAGAAAACCACCTCTCGGATGGTGTGGCTGAGACTCGGCCCCTCCAGCGGCCGCGGCTGGGTCTGCAGGGTCAGGCTGTCCCTCCACGGCTCGTACACCAGCGTGGCGCTCTCAGCCCTCTTGATGGTGAACTTGTAGGAGCGGTTGGGCAGCAGGTTTCGGACGTCGAACGTGCAGGCGGCCACGGGGATGACGCCGCTCTGGGCGCACTCCTGCTGCGTCCGGGGGTCCAGCAGCCTGAAGCGCAGCTCGTACTGCTCCAGCGTGGCCGGCTGCACCGTGACGAACCAGCGCAGCCGGGCCCAGTCCTGGTGGGCTGCCGACTCCTTGCGGTCAAACATGACGGGCATCTTGGTGCTCAGCACGAGCCGGATGTGCGGGATCTTGGCGGCCCCCACGTCGGACACCAGGCGGTGCTTGATGTGCAGCTGGCCCGGCACCATCATGGTCAGGAAGCTGTCCATGGCGGCCGACACCTCCGCCAGCCGCCGCCGCACTAGTGCCCAGCCGGCCAGGAAGGGCCACGGGTCGGGCGACTCCAGCAGGGCGTCGAGCTCGGCGCGACTGTGGTCGAGCTGCTCCAGCAGCTCCCTGAGCAGCAGGAGCTGGATCTTGGTCTGCGCCGTGCCCACCTTCTTCATGCGCTGGAACTTCCAGGGGTCGATGAGCTGGAACACGGCGCTGGGCAGCACCAGCGGGTTCTGGTCGCCCAGGGCCAGGTGCTTGGGCAGCACCTCGATGTGGTAGGAGCACTTCCGCAGCAGTTGCATGCGGGCGTGGTGACGCTTGAGCAGGTGTGGGCTCAGGTCCAGCGTCAGGAACTCACGCAGGGCGTTTCGGCGCTCCGTGTAGGCCCTCCACGCCTCCGGCTCCAGCAGCTGCTGGTCGTCCGCCTCGTCCTGGTCCGGGAGGGACTGGGGACGGCCCAACTTCATTTTGTCCAGGCCCAGGCCTGCCACGTGGGAGCTCATCATCCAGGAGCTGGGGGGAGGGCTGGGTGTCAGCTGGGCTGGCCTCCCTGGGTCACAGCTCGCTTAGCAGTGGCTTCAGCCCACTGCCCCCATGCTGGGCCTCTGTCCTTCCTCGGGGCACAACTCTCTGGGAAGAGGCTGCCTGGAGGGCTGGATGTGCAGGCTACAGATCTGGAGGCAGTTTATGCTGAGGGGCGAAAACCTTTACTGACAAATAGTGGCCTGGAGGACGGAACAGGAAAGGCTAGGACTGCAGGCTTCCAGCCGGAACGGCCAGGGCAGAAACCCCAGTGCGGGGCAAGGGTCCCGCTTCCTGGCGCTGGTGCTGAAAGGGGGTCCCATGGGGCTGTGGAGAGGAGACAGCGAGGTCTTACGCAGCATAGGACCCCCCTTGGGGACACTCGTCGGCCATCCTCCCGCTCCGGTTCTCCCTGGGGACTCTCCACATCTCACTGCAGTTGCAGAACAGGGACGTGCCTCACCAAAGACAAGGCCAGCTGACCGGTCAGCATGGGAGGAGGGCAGCCAGGCCCGGGCCTGGAGGAGTAGTCCTCCCTCACTGTGGACCAGGGATCCTGTGCCTGGTGAGCTCACAGACTCCACAAGCAACACCCGACGAAGGGGCTGGATTCTGTCACCCCATTCCCCAGGAGCCTGAGGCTAAGAAGGCTGGTGCTTGCTCTCATCCAGGGTTTGCACCCAGCTGCTGAGCCAAGCCTGAGCTCTGTCCGTGGTGCCCCGTGAGCGCAGCTGTGGCCCCAGGCTCTGCTGCAGCTCCCTGGAGAGCAAGCTGCATCTCTGGCCGTCACCCCGGCTCCCAGCAACCCTGGGGATCTCAGGTTGTCGCAACCACTTGGGCCTTGGACAAACCTGAACCGCAAATGAGAACTAAGCAGTGAGTGTGTGACTTCTCCAAGGCCACACAGGGACCATCAAGCCACGTCTGCCTCTTGCTCAAAGGCGCAACCCTTGAGCCCCCTGGAGACAGCAGGGAGTGTGCCTGGGATGAGGTTCAACCTGAGAACAGGAGGCCAGGACCCAGGACTACGCCCTGCCCTGGCTGGCGTGGATTTCACGCTGGAGGGAATTCTGAGGCATGCTTCCCAGGTGGAAAACCCAGAGGAAAGCCGGGCGCGGTGGCTCAAGCCTGTAATCCCAGCACTTTGGGAGGCTGAGGCGGGTGGATCACGAGGTCGAGAGATCGAGACCATCCTGGTCAACATGGTGAAACCTCGTCTCTACTAAAAACACAAAAAATTAGCTGGGCATGGTGGCTCGTGCCTGTAATCCCAGCTACTCAGGAGGCTGAGGCAGGAGAATTGCCTGAACCCAGGAGGCGGAGGTTGCGGTGAGCCGAGATCGCGCCATTGCACTCCAGCCTGGGTAACAAGGGCGAAACTCCGTTTCAAAAAAAAAAAAAACAAAAACCCAGAGGAGCTGGTGATCAACCTGGGAAGCCGGTTCTGAGACCACCCTGCTTCCAACACACCCCTGGTCCCAGGCCCGCCTCCCGGGGACCACTAGGTCCCCGCGTCCTCCCCCTCCCACTCCACTGCCCTCCGCTCCCATGGCCCGGGCCCACCTCCCCTGCGCTCTGCCTGCCCCTGCCCCTTCCCTTCCGAGACCCCCGCCCTCCTCTCACAGCCCCCGCCACCGCCCCAGGCCCAGCCCACTTGCCCTGCCTCGGAGCCAGCCGCGCGGACTTCCCGGAGTCCAGCCTCCCTCGCTGGGGCTCCGCGGGTTGCCCTGGGGACCAGGGGCCTTTGTGACGCTGCGGCCCGGGGGCGGGGACCCAGGACCCCGAGCCCAGGAATCCTCCAGACGCTTCGCTTCTGGGGAGCCCTAGACTTCTGGGGGCCTGCGTCCCCGACCTGGGGGGGGCCACCGCAGGTGGCTGGTTCGAGAGCCGGGCTCCAAGTGGGGTTCCTGAAAGACGCCCGTCCTGGGCACAGCGCTTGCCACGCACCCCTCCCCGGCTTCCGGCGGGGCGCAGGAGCCGCGGGTGACTGGGAGGGAGGGGGTTCCTCCCCAACCCCTCAATCCGGGCGCGGTTCTCGGGGATCCCTCGGAGGAATTTGGGAGAGAGGAAGGGACCAGTGACCTGGCGGGTGGATGGACCACCCAGTGCCCGGACAGTGGAGAGGAGCGGACCCTCTTCCCACCGAGGCACCGCCCACCGAGACTCTGCCCCCAAGGCCCCGCCCCATCAAGGCTCCGCCCCACCGGGGGCTCCTTCCAGCACAGGCTCCTCCCACCAGGGGGCTCCTCCCACCACTGGCTCCTGCCTCATGCCCCTACCACCACGGCCCCTCCCACTGCTGGCTCCTCCCACTACAGGGTCCTCCCTCCACGGGCTCCTCCCTCATGCCCCTCCCACCACAGCCCCTCCTACTGCTGGCCCCTCCCACTATAGGGTCCTCCCACCACTGGCTCCTGCCTCATGCCCCTCCCACCACGGCCCCTCCCACCGCTGGCTCCTCCCACTATAGGGTCCTCCCACCACGGGCTCCTGCCTCATGCCCCTCCCACCACGGCCCCTCCCACCGCTGGCCCCTCCCACTACAGGGTCCTCCCTCCACGGGCTCCTCCCTCATGCCCCTCCCACCACAGCCCCTCCCACCACAGGCTCCTCCCACCACAGGGTCGGCCCGCGGCAGGCTCCTGCCTCCCAAGCTCGGGCCGGACCTGACTGTGGATAAATGGGGTCTCCATAGCTCCAGAGAGGCCCGCAGAGGAGCTCTGAGGCCATCTGGTCCCGTCCGTGTCCGTTCAGTTGGGCCCAGGGCCTCTGGGATCCTCCCCTTCCCCCGCAGCACACCTCAGCTAGCTGGGGGGTCTTCGAGGGTCACAGTCAGCCTCAGACACCTCCAGGTGCTCCTGCTTCACTTTCAGGAAGTGCTGGAAGAGGATGGGCGTCCCTGAGCCCCTCCCAGGCTGTTCTGCCACCTGAGCCTCCCCCGTCCTCTGGTGACCCCACCTGGAAGAGCTTTTTCTTGGTGCAGGGAGGCCCCAGGGGTTAGGCCTGGGAGGAAGTGGGCAGGTGTGGGTGTTTCTTTTGAAATGGGGTCTTGCTCTGTCTCCCACTCACTGCAGCCTGCACCCCCCCGAGCTCACGTGATCCTCCACTTGAGTCTCTCAGATCCTGTGGGATCACAGGTGTGAGCCCCGTGCCCAGTCCTGTTGGGTGCTGTTTCTGCCCTGCCCTCCCTGCCTGGGTGGGAACTCAATAAATGCCAGCTGTGGTTGTTGTTACTGTTATTTAGGGCTCAGAGACAAAGCTGGGTTGTTTGGAGAAGGGGGTGCTGTCTGACCCCTTACTCCCAGCCCCACAGTCCTCCCACAGAGAAGCAGAGCAGCCCCCCTCCTCTTCTGGGGTCAGGCAGGTCCCGGACCTCTGCCCTCTCCTGGGCTCCATCCTACCTGCTTTCTTTCAATTTCTGATTTCCCATCCAATTTTTAAAAATTAAACTTTTGTCTGGGCTCAGTGGCTCAGGCCCATAATCCCAGCACTTTGAGAGGCCAAAGTGAGAGATCCCCTGAGGCCAGGAGTTTGAGTCCAGCCTGGGCAAGATAGAGAGACTCCTGTCTCTACAAATAATTTTAAAAATTAGCTGGGTATGGTGGTGGTGTGCACCTGTGGTCCCAGCTGCTTGAAAGGCTGAGGCTGGAGGATCACCTGAGCCTGGGAGGGTGAGGCTGCAGTGAGCCGAGATGGTGCCACTGCACTCCAGCCTGGGGAAAGAGGGAGACCCTGTCTCTAAAAAGAATTATAATGGCTGGGTGCGGTGGCTCACAGCTGTAATCCCTGCATTTTGGGATGCCAGGGCAGGCAGATCACCTAAGGTCAGGAGTTTGAGACCATCCTGGTCAACAAGGTGAGACCCCGTCTCTACTAAAAACACAAAAAATAGACGGTTGTGGTGGCGCGTGCCTGTAATCCCAGCTACTCGGGAGGCTTAGTTAGGAGAATCCCTTGAACCCAGGAGGTGGAGGTTACAGTGAGCCGAGATCACAGCACTGCACTCCAGCCTGGGTGCAGTAAGACAGAGCGAGACCTGTCTCAAAAATAGTAATAATAATAATAAAATTAAACTTTTAATTTTGAGACAATTGTAGATTCCCCTGCAGTTGTAAGAGATAACACAGAGGGCCCGTTTCCCTCCACGCAGCCTCCCATGGGAGGATCTTGCCTGCTGTGCGCGACCACACCAGGACCCTGACGCCGGTGCAGACGCAGCGCGGTGCCATGCCGGGGGCCTGACACGTTCTTTATAGCCACGTGCTTCCTGCCACCCCTCCCTAGCTCTGCAGCCACTCCTCTCTCCGCCTCTATCTCATCGTTTCAAGAATGCTTTATCTACGTGGTCCTTCAGGGTGCAGCCTTGGGACGGGCTCCCTGACCTCAGCATGAGCTCCTTCGTGCAGGTATCGCAGTTCCTCCTTTTCAGTGCTGGGCAGTGCTACAGGGTGCCAGGAGCTGCTCTGGGTTCAGTCTCGCCCAGCCCTGCTTGTGGCCACGCGGGCATGGGCAGTGAGCACTTTGGGTCCGGTGTCCCTGGTGGACAGAACCTCCCTGGGCCCTGAGGATGGTGAAGGCTGGGTTAGTGATGCCACAGTCGTGGGGGAGGAGGGTGCACTCTGACCACTGACACCTCTGTGTGTCCTCCAGACACGCAGACCTGGGTTGGGGTTGCCCTGCGTCCCATTCTCCTGTCTGTGTCCTCACCAGGCTCCATCTACACATCAGGAAGTGCCCTGCACCCCATCCTCCTGGTCTGTGTTCTCACAGCTGTTGGAAGCTCAGTGCTAAGGTGGGGAAACTGAGGCATGGGGTGGTTCAGCACTGTGTGCCCAAGGTCATGTGGCCAGTGAGCCTGAGAGCAGGACTCCAGCCTTGGTCATTTTTTCTTCCTTTCCTTCTTTTTATTTTTTGAGATGGAGTCTCATTTAGCTGCCCAGGCTGCAGTGCAGTGGCTTAGTCTCTGCTCACTGCAACCACCGTCTCCTGGGTTCAAGTGATTCTCCCTTCTCAGCTTCCTGAGTAGCTGGGATTATACAGGCACCTGCCATCATGACCAGCTAATTTGTGTATTTTAACAAAGATGGGGTTTCACCATATTGGCCAGGCCGGTCTTGAACCCCTGACCTCAGGTGGCCCACCCACCTCAGCCTCCCAACATGCTGGGATTACAGGTATGAGTCACCACTCCTGGCCTTTTCTTTTTTTAAAAAAAAAATAGAGACGGGGGGTCTCACTGTGTTGCCCAGGCCGGTCTTGAACCCTGGGCTCAAGCGATCCTCCTGCCTGGCCTCCCCAAATTCTGGCATTGCAGGCATGGGCCACCTTACCAGGCCAAGCCCCAGTCTTCTGACCCTGGCCCGTTTCCTCACTCCCCTCTGCCACCTCCCCATTAGGGCTGAGGGAGGAGGTGAGGTCACAGGGGAGTGTCCAGCAGGCAGGGAAGGCACTGTTGACCTGGACACCTGCTCAGGGGCCCTGCACTGGGCTGTGCTGCACCAGGTGGTGAGATGAGGAAGGGGTGGGCATTTGGGCATAACTTGGAGGTCAGCAGACAGGGCAGCTGGGCCTGCGGGGCTGAGGATTCTGAGGACCACTAGGGAGGAGCCGGATGAAGCCGGCCTTGGCTGCCTGCCGACTGCGTTCACCCTGGCATGTGTGTGGTACAAGGGCAGCAGGTACCAGGGGGGGAAGACAGGGAGGACGTTGGGAGCTGATCTGTAGGCGGGCGACGCAGCGGGGGTGAGACACGCTTGGGCAGAGGCCAGACGGGGCCCTCACCCTGACGGCCAGGCTGGGCTCTGGCTCCAGCTGGGTGTGGAATGTGCTGAGTCTATGCCCCGATCCTGTGGCTCTAAGGGACAGGGAGTGTCCACAAGGAATCTGCATTCAGTGTCCTGAACAGCCGACCTGGTGTGGTGCGCACGGGAGCCTCCCATGCCCTGAGAGGCCTCCCTGGAGCTGTGTGGCCTTGGCGTTCTAGGAGGGAGGGGCAACGTCCTAGGGAGGTTTAGGAGAACTGGTTGCTGAGCGTGGTGGCACACGCCTGCAGTCCCAGCACTGTGGGAGGCAGGAGCATCACGTGAGGCCAAGAATTCAAAGCCA